CGACTACACAATATCTGCTGACATGACATACTTTAATATAAGATCTCAGTTTTCATGTTTAAATATTTTTTATTATTTCTTGTTTCAGATTTTTGTAGACTGATGAACCTCTGCCCATTTTTATTTCAAATGGACTGAGCCCCTTTAAAATGCTCTTTATACCTTGTAGAGCCCGACCGATATGAGTTTGAGGACATATTGTATCAGTGATAATTGTATCAGTGATAATTGTATCAGTGATAATTGTATCAGTGATAATTGTCCCATTATGCCCCAATATAAATGCTTCTAATTTTCACCCCTAACATGCTGGGAGCTAGCTGTGTCCTTACTTACAAATGGTGTAATTGTACAATGTATCCAGCAGAGGGCGCATGCAGATTACTTTCAGTCTTGGCCGTTCACTTTAACTTTCACTTTCAGCGCAGTTGAAGCACGGAGCATTACTGTGTGTTTTGCTGAGCGGAGCATGGTAAGTTTGTTTTAACTGATCTGTAAAATAAAATAAATCAATAATAAATTCTCTTCAATCCTCCAACCTGCTTGTCACTAGTTACGACCCTCTCAGGTTAGCAAGCTAACATTTAGATAACCTAGCATAGGCTATCACCTTGTAAAACTTTATCCAGAACCATAAATCTCACGTAGAGGTAAAATACATCAGAGTTAGTAACGTTATCTTTGTCTTCCTCAATGAAATGTTTGTCTGAAATCTTTACTTCTACAAAGAAAAATAAACTCTGCTGTGGTCGATACTAGTTATACCTTCACCGTACGTAACTGACTGTTTAAAAAATGAACAGGAAGGTGTTTCTTTGTTTAATTTATATTTTTGTAACACACTTGATAACTCTATGGTGAATAGTGGAGGATAGAAAACGTGAACACATGTTAGGAAGACTGTTTCAAGACTTCAAGTGTTAAAACTGGTTTAAAAGTAGCGGTTTACTGAGATTCTTGTGGGTGGACAAAGATAAAAAAATGTTCAGCCAATATATCACTTATTGATATTAGTCCAACTTCCAATATCGTTATCAATGAAAGCCAAAATTCTCCATATCGGTCGGGCTCTGTTGCCTCTTAACCTAACTAGTTGTCAAAGTTTCTTTAATCTGTTTGTTACTTGCACCATTTTTAACCCTTTTGTGAACTCTGTCCACCTTTTTAAGATGTTACTGACATCAAATTAAAAATATAAAAACGGCAAATTCCTACTTTAAACATTTGTTTCATTGTGAACAGGAATTTGTGAAATTTGCAAATTATTGCTTTTTTTATTTACATTTTACACAACATCCCTACTTTTTCATAATTGTTACATGAAATAACGTGTTGTTGTGAGGTCACAGAAGGTCAGCAGTGGCGGCGGCGTCCATGACGGTTTGGCCAGTCGTCACTTTTACAGAACAAATGGGCTTTAAGTCAGTACTGAGGCTTGGGGAAGTTTGTCTTCTACATAAAAGCTGAGTTGACCGATTGTTCTGGACCTTTATTGTGAGAACAATCAAGAAAAGAGAAATCATTTGAAACACACCCAAAGTTTTATTTTTGAACCAGCTGTTTTTAAAATTCAACCTTTATTCATACAGGTAGTCTCAGTGAGTGACAAGGACTCATTTTCAAGAGGGACCTGTTTGGGAGCAGATGGTGGGGGTTAAGAGCCTCTAAGAAACGGCAGATTAACAGCTATTTTAGCAGATTAATTTGATATTAGCTGATTAATTAGATGTTTTTATAACAGTTTAACTGGCCTTTTTAAAAGGACTTAATGGAACTGCTAAAATGACTAAACTGATTTTATTGTTTTATGAATAAAGGTAAAAAAACAATGAATTTGAAAATTGGATAAGAGAAGTCGTGTATCAGATTAATCTGGAAAAATTACCATATTTTTCACTGTAAGTTGCGTTTTTTTTTATAATTTGCATGACCTGCGACTTATAGGCCGAAGCAACGTATTTATGAATTTTTTCTCATATTTATAAACCAATTTTTGGCTGAGATATGACTGTTTTCATTCACTCTGACTGAAAAAAACAGAACAGTACCATTTTCTGCCACTAGATGGCAGCAGAGTAGCAGTAGTGTATGGCATGCCGTTGTATCATGTAATAGGTAAACGTGGCTATAATGACAAATTCAAAAAAGTTAAAAACAAAAACAACTGGACTTTATTTATTATACTTTATTGTTTTTGTCTTGAACTTTTTTGAATTTACCATGTCCTGGATGTCTGAGAATCTTTACCAGCTATTAATGACACAATCGACCTGCCATACTCTTCCACCTTCGTTCTGCTCGCTGCTTGGAGCAACCGTCAAATCAGCTTCATTTCGCCGCGTCGTCCCAGCGAAATGCAGCTGATTTGACCATTAAAGTGCATTTATGAAGTAAAAGTTCAACTGAGACACACGTTACTATAATGTCGAGCAAACAAATAATTGTTTTTAAGTGTTAATCTTATTAAATTCTTGTTAAAGTCCTCCCGTGCACGCTCCCGCAGCCGCCATTTGGCAGCCAATCAATTTTTGGCACAACACCGGCCCACATGTCCAGGTTGTCAGCGGTGACGCATAATGGATGTGACGTATTTATGGACTTTTCCACTTTTTTTAGACAAATTTGGACTGATGCAACTTATAGGGCGGAGCGATGTGTACGGTGGAAAATACGGTAGCTGTACCCTTGAAAGGTTCTGCTCAAAGATTTTGGGACACTTGGCAGCCGTTGGTGTCGTATGTTGAAAACATGTCGTGTCTGTTTAAGACATTTATGTATGTGGGGCTGATCCCGTGTGGGAGGGGATTATGTTCTGTTCTTTTCTCCTTTTGTGTTCAAAAAACAAAACAAAATCAATAAAAAGGCTTTGATTAAAAAAAGATAATGAATAATAAACTGGATGTTTCTATGCTCTACAGCATTTTGAGGTAACTTGAAATCAGAAGAAAACTGTAAGTCTGAGTTCTTTCTCCTCACTGCAGATAACTGGTGGTGTTGTGTGGACAGCACCTTCTTCACCAGAGTGGTGGACACGTACAAGAACATTGTGGTTTTCATGCTGACGGGTGGCCGGAGGCACCTGGTGCCCACGTTCTACGACAACTATCTTCTGGCCACACTGCGGCTGCTGGAGAAACTGCACAAGGTATCCACGACCCAGCTCTGCGGTGCTCAAGAGAAAATGTTTGCTTTGGTTCTTGGTAACGTGTTTCTGTGACATTTGGTGGATTTGGAACTGAAATGAGTTTCATGTTGAAAGGTTAATCTAAAGGCTAACCATGTGGAGTACAGCCACTTTTATATTCCTGACATCACCAGCCTGGTGGACATCCAGGAAGACTACCTCAAATGGTTTCTGAGTAAAGCGGAGTTTGTAAGTATGTTCCTTATATAATGTGATTTTAGACGATACTGCTCTGTAGATTTTAATTCAGGACAACTTTTTATAAAGTTACTGAAACGTTGGAGTGTTTTCAAAATGTTCTTCAGTTCTTCTGTCGAGTGTTTCTTTAGTCAGGTCTGAACATTTTTCTCTCTCTTGTTTTAATTTCTAGAAAACTGAATCTTCCCGTTCACAGGTAGTCATTTTTCATATTAATCATATGAGCCTTTGAAATATTGTTAATGTATTAATATTAATGTAAATGTTATTTTCTCTGCAGGATGACTTTTCCTCAATAAACCTTTGTGCCTTCCCGTTCATCCTGAACGCTCAAGCCAAGACGACAATGCTGCAAACTGATGCTGAGCTGCAAATGCAGGTACCGGACGCACAATGTTCGAACCGAGACGCTTCAGTTTAGTCACGTGTTTGTAACAACGCAGAACAGAAACTAGAAGGTTGTGCAAAATCTTCGTTCTTCTTCTTTTGACGTTTCACTCTTCAGGGTCTCCACAGCGAGTCCTCCTCCTCCATCTCTGTCCTCTGTGTCCTCTGTCCTCACTCCAACTACCTCCATGTCCTCTCTAACTGCATCCATAAATCTCCTCTTTGTCTTTGTCCTGCAGCTGCATTTCTAACATCCTTCTACCAATATACCCACTGTCCCTCCTCTGGACATGTCCAAACCACTGTCCCTCCTCTGGACATGTCCAGAGGAAGGACAGTGGTTTGGACATGTCCAGAGGAGGGACAGTGGTTTGGACATGTCCAG